TTAAACGTGACAAAAATTTTTAACAAACAATTTACTTTAAATCCATACTCCGGTGTAAAAGAAGAAGGATTATATTTCCCAATGCTGATAAAATTATCGTAGATCTGAAATATATTCTATATTTAATTTCACGATAATTAAACAATTTTATTTTCATATTTAAAATTAATAACAATACTCACAAGTGACGTAAAATACGATAATGCCCACGACAGTATTAAAGATGCAACCAATAACAATATTCCAAACACTGATATAACCCCCCAAATTATTGTATCAATCTTTACGAAGAGAACAATGTACATTAAGAAGCAACTTTCATACATATAAAAGATGTAAATTAAAGGAAAGAATTCCTTCCATTTTTCGTTGATTTCTTCTAAAATTTCCCAAATTTTCCAAAGATTCTTCATTAGTTTATCAACGAAAGATATTGTAGCAGAAATTGTAAGTTGCAACTGAACAGAAATATTAATCAATTTTTTCCCTACGAGAAAAAAAACGACTAAGCAAACAACAAGGGTTGATAACATGTGAGACGCAACATAAAATAACCAAAGTTCGACACCGAAAAGGCAAAACAAAGATGTTTTATAATCGTAGCGTGAAGCTTTAAAAGCTGAATAACCGACGAACCAACTTATTACGAAACAACACAGAAGATCGAATACATACAAACAGAAATAGTGAAAAATATATCGTTCATATTGCTCGATAAATTCTTCTTCTTTCGTGAAATTCTTCATCAAGTGATGAACATTAAGTTTTCTTCTTTTTAAAATGCTGAATTGTGCGGCTATGTACAAAGAACACCACCATACAATAAACTGAATGTAAAATTTTTTATTTCCAAATACAAGACTTAGATGATGGCAGATACCACTGGATGTTGTTATCATTGTAAACAATAATACCATCGTCCATAAAAATATTTCCAGTAAATTTTTGTAAATTTTGTAAAAGTTCTGAATTTTCCTTGATCTTTTCTTTTGACAATTGCACGTTTCCAACACGTCCAAGCCGAACACTTTCGTCACAGAAATCAACGGTTGAAGTTTTCTAGCGATACAGTTACTGTGTGACGAAGGCATTTTTCCTATTGAAGTGTGAGATTTATTTTAACGTACAGTCTCGAATTTATGAAACAGCTATTAAATTAAGGTTCTTGGTTTCCATATATGCAATAGATTCATGAAAATACACTTTTATGTATTGAATGTGTGAGAAAATTTAAAACGAAAGCATCGCTTAAACTATTTTTCGGTTAACTCAAATGCTTTAAAGTAAATATATAAACGGAAGAAGCTACACCAGATGTGTAGATGTACAGTTATGAATATAATCGATTGAGTGACGCTATGTAATATACAAACCAATCACGTTACAGATCGCAGAAGAGAACTTGTGGCGCGCACATAAATACTGATCAATAAAATATAATTCCTCTGTCATTTTTAATACTTCACTGTTCAATAGTATTTGTATATATATATATATATAATGGAATTTTCATCCTAACGCAATTACCCGTTTTCTTTGTTTTCAATTTATGAAAACGTAACTATAATAAAACAATTGAATAATTATACAAACGTAATTAAACAACGATACTNAGTAATTAAACAAACATAATTAAACAACGATACTTTATTAATATAAAGAATTTATCAAACGAATTGTTCAACAGATGTAATGTACTAAAAATAAAAGAGTGCCATGACCTTTTTATGCCGATTGTGTCTTGCAAATTTCACAGTCATGAAATATGAAAATTATGTATATTTAAATTTAAAAATCTATATAAATCGCTATTGTTTACGACAAATTTTTGAAATAATACAATTTGTAGTATTGTATTACTACAAAATTGAACTCGTAAAAGATGAAACAGTATATTTAAAATTAAATCGCGTGTTTTTTTTTGTTCTTTGAATATCGGCTCACCTGTTTTATATAAATTATTTTGCATATATTTATTGTATCCTGGGGAAGGAAGAACAACTTTTTACACATAACATTCTTTTGTATATACATTTGTATATGCATATATTTTCATGTGACCGTACAGAATTACAGTTGCTTAATACAGTAAAACCTTTCAGAGTAAAAGAAATTTTCTGAGACAGGGAGATTAACTCTGTTACAACAAACCTGTTTAAAATGAAAACCTGCCCAACAAATAAAAATAGGCATATTCTGCATATACTTCTAAACCTATCGATTGGACGGCCGGATGGCCGAGGGGTCAAGCTGGCAGCCTACAGCTCTGGGGGACCCGTGATGGAAACCGGATGAATCAAGGAAACCCCAGGATTTTTTCGGAGGATGGTCCGTTCCAATATGTCAGGCACCGTCGCTCCATTGTGGGCCTGGCCGAACCCATAATGCGCCTGCTATAAGAGTCTGTCTTAGTGCCCACAGGGTAGAAAGCGTTAAAAAAAAAAAAACCTATCGAGCGATTCGCAGCTAACTTTTTACAGTTACTTTCTATAACACTGCAAAATATAAGATACTATTAATCTTGTTACATAAGTATTTTTCTTTATTCTTCCGATATCACTCAGTGATAAACATAGTGTTTTCCAAAAACGAACAATTGTTTACTGTGACATCGTCACAAATGAGGACTGCCATTCTTTACACTATTCTTTAAATTCATTCTACTTAACATATATGCTCTCCACCTCAAATTTGTAGAGACTTGAACCTGAACATCATACATCTCCTTTAACAATAAAATATATCCGGTCATCTATCTAACACATATCGGGGAAAATATTTAAATTAACAAAGCAAATATTTCGGTTTGCATCGGCAAATCCTTTACGGTTAATCAGAGTCTCCCTCTTTTCCACTTTCTACAGCTGGTTTGTGCATTAATCTATTTGTCTCTGCTTTCGGAATTCGTAAAGGACAGTGGGAATTTATAGGTTTATAATTTTATCAAATTGCAGCCTATTTACAATATGGTTCAATTTCATTGTGCCATATATAAAGTGCGATAATCGTTACGAAAAGAAAGTAACGAGCCCGTGATTAAATTTCATTCCATCAATACATTTTAACTATAGATATTGCTTATAAATATAAGCAAATGAACTTCAAACATTATTGAAGTAGATAGCATTTTCTTTAAAAGATATTTGCTACGAAATTTAACAAATTCGTATCTTCAAATACTTCATCTTTAATAATTCATCTTCGGTATTCGATTTGTTATTTCAAATACCAAAATCTATTTAGTTGTTTCGAGACCGTGTCTTCTTTTTAATTATTTTTTCTTCGCAACTGAGTGCATAGGTAGACACTGGGCATTTTTAACATCACCCTTTTATTCTGGAAGATCTTACACACCGATACGCGTTTCGGGTGTGTAAGATATTCGTGAATAAAGGGTGCTGTTAAAAATGCTCAGTGTTTACCTATGCATCCAGTTGTAAAGTACAGTATAGAATACTAAAATCTATTTAAAGTATTCTGAATTATTTCAAATAACAGATACCTTAAATATTCTGTGATATTTCTAACACATCAGAGTATTATCTTTATCGTGGTATTTTTGAAATTTTAATATCTAGGATTCTTCAGTTACGCAAACATGTAGGCCAGAACTAAGATATATCGATTCGTATTGGAATATATATTACGAATATTATTCAGATCGTTAATGCACGCGAATAGTTAAATTGCATTTCCTGCTTATAAAATAAACAAGAAATACAAGAACGATAGACATTTAAATTTTAAGAATATTTTCAAATTAATCTGAAAGTTTATTTTAAAATTATTTACAAAAATATTATATTCAGGTAAACAATATTTCTAGGTAATTAGTGCTTTGTTTCCCTTGTTTAATAAGTACTTTATTTGAGTTAAACCTTTAGTAATTAAAACGTTGCAAACTATCTGATATTTTTATTTCTTCGTTCTAAATTTAATTAAACGTAAAAGATATTTAAAAGTTGCAAAAAGAACTAAATGTGAAATGTTAGAATAGAAAGTTTTATGGTTTTATGTATTTTCTTTTGCCTCAACACGAAACTTCAATTGCAGTGTAGGTGTTTTACTACTGCGTGTCTTTGAAAACAGCTGTTGTGAGTCATACCCAGGACGTTTACATATCCCCCTCAGGATAAAACGAAATCCAGGAGAATGTGTGTACTTGCTTGCCATATATATCTAGATATTTTTCAAATTTTTTAAATTTACACTGCTATTTCTGTTCTTTTATGTTAAAACTAAAACAGCTACATATAATAAAATCTGTTAAATAATAATTCAATTCAATTTATTAAGCATATAAGGCTTTCGCCTGTTACAAGGGCGGTGCTTGTTAATACAACATATTAGTATATTTCGTCAACATATCACAAATACTTTGTATATGTCCTTATCATATATCTACAACATAACATATCATTAACATAAGATATTAATCACAAGTTATTTTAAAAAATGGTTCATATAGTTATATATTTTAAAAATAGTGTTAATATTCGCTCTATCAAGGATCTTATACATCTCAGATTCGTTGGAACAATTTGCTATTATACTTATATCATATCTTTGCCTGATTTCGTTCACTTTATCACATTCACAGAATATATGGAATTTAGACATTGATTTATTACATCTTGGGCATATGATATGAGAATAATCCAGGAAAACTTATCATTTAAAATAATCCCATTTTTATTTAGTTAAATATTAATAATAATAATAATAATAAACTCTATTGTATGTTTTTTACACCATCAGAATCTATTCAGAAAAAGTTTACCAAAGTCAAATCCATGTATAAGAAGTTTAGAACGATTAGATTAATTTGATTAAAAACTCTCATCAGAAAAATTTTTAAGCGATTAATATAAAAGTAAGAAATTGTATGTATTTTTCATATAAATGTATAAAATTATTTTAAAAAATTCAATTTGATATTTCTTATTTTTTATTTCAAGTTTTCTTTTAGTTTTGTTACTTTGATTACACTCAAATTTTTATTTTTTGAGATGATGATCGGTTTGTATTTTTTTTCTCTTCTCTCATTGGATTAACTGGAGTTCCTCATAAGAAAAGAATCTATNGCAAGAATTAATTCCTTCGTTTCCAGACTAATTAGAGAATTTTTACATGGGTTTAAAAATATGTTCTATTTCGCGCAAAAACGCAAAAAACCTCATTTGCGCTTGTAAATCTTGCACGCCGCTTTCTTTTAACACTACCATTGTTAACACTTCCATTGTTAAGGAATTCATTCTTTCATCCACCGTGGTATCCTTCTAAATGTTGTAGCCTACTAAAACGCAGTCAAAAACGCAAAAAACCGCATCTAAAATAGTATAATAAAAGCCGAGTTTTCCACGAAAAGACTTGATTTTGTCCCTTTCCCCGCTGGGGGAATTTCGAAAAATCCCTTCTTAGTGTACATTCTCGTGACTTACCCTAACTGTGTACCGAGTTTCAACTCCTAATCGTTTGGGCTCTGCGCTAATTATTATTATTATGAACCCGTCTCGATTATATATATATAGATTATTTAATAATTGTAGCTTAATTACTATTATTTATAAAACAGCATTTATGTCAATAATACCAAGGGGCTGTGTAATACCGAGATGAACTTCATTTATAATACAGAAGAAAAGTACGCACTGTGCGTACCTTACTTTTGTATAAATGTATTCACTTTTTGACTGACCATTAGCTATACTAATAAGTTTTGAGTTAAGTGTTTATTAACAGAGAAACAAAACTAAAAAGTTAGATTAAAGATAAATTAATTTAAGGTTATTTTCCGCATGAAAGAAAGATTAATAGCGTAGGAGTATTGAAATGGTAATGATTGAGTACTTTTTTGAGACAATCTGTATTTAGAAATTTTAAATTTTCCCCGGAGGAAAGAGACATGATTAGAGTTTCGACAATGGAAATGTTAAAAATGGAAGTGTCAACAATGTAATTTTCAACAATGGAAGTGTTAAGAGAATGGGATGTGCAAGATTTAGAGGCGCAAATGCGATTTTATGCGTTTCTGATTGCGTTTTAATAGGTTATGTCACGAGAATATACACTCAGAAGGGAGTTTTCGAAGGAACTTCCACCAGAGGGGGTGAGATTGTTGACACTTCCCCGGCAAGGAAGTGTGAACAATGGAAGTGTTAAGAAAAAGCGACAGGAAAGATTTACCGACGTAGATGGTTTTTTTTTTGTTTTTGCAAAAATACGAACATTTTTTAACCCATCTAAAAATTCTCTAATCAGTCTTGAAACAGGGAGACCTAATTCTTCTATTTTTTAAAAAATGGTAAGATTGAATATAAAGTAAAAATTTTAATCTTTCGTATCATTACTTTTTACCCGAACAACGCCAGGCCTAGCTACTAGTTTCTAATAATTCAGAGATAATTATATATTAGAACTTTATATATAATATCCGAAAAACTTGTATAATTACTAGATGTTTCCCGCGGCATTACCCGCGAGTATTTTGCAAGCAAAACCCATTTATATTTAGTATTTTAACAACCAGAGTAATTGTTATATAACACCTACCGCTGAGAATAATGAGAATTGCCAAGAATCAAAAAGAACTATTTTTAATTTGATCAATTTTCTGGAACGTTTACAATCGTTCTATAATCGAACTAATATGCAATAACAAATTCGAATTTAAAACGGTTTAAACATTTTTTAAATTGAAATAGATAAAAATATTTATAACAATGTCTGAAATGTTATCAATTTAATTCACGTAAGTATTCAATGAAGACTAAACGTAGTAGAAAACAAAAATCGCATCTAAAATAGTACAGTAGAAGCCGTTCTTCCAGTTAAGCCTTAATCCTCTTTCCCCCGCGGGGAAATTTCCAAAAATTCTTTCTTAGTGTGCGTTTTTATCACGTATCCTAACTATGTGCTATATTTCACCGCTTTAGGTTCAGTGGTTTGCTCTAGGCGATGATGAATCAGTCAGTCAGTCAGTGAGTCAGTCAGTCAGTCAGGTCAAGTAATTTTATATATTTAGGTCAATCATATTTAGTATCAACATCTGAGAATAAAATTCTAGAGGTATCTAAACAAATAAATGTACTGACGAATTTATACGATAAAAATTATGTGGTCCATTATCGAAATTTCAAACAATATTTGAAAATGGGATTCAAATCTTATAAATGTCATACAGTATTAGAATTTAAACGGTTACTATGGATAAGAAAGTTATTAAAGTTGACTACTAAAATGAAAATTAACACAAATAGTGATTCTAAAAAGGTCTTTGAAAAACTAATGAATAACTTTCTATTTTGCAAAACTATGGAAAATACAAAAAAATTTCGTACAAAATTAAAACCTAATGAAGATTGAAAATTTAATCGGAAAACGAAAATTTAAACATAGAACGATATTTGACGAACACATTAGTGCTGTTCGTATGATCAAAACAAAGGTTGTATTTTAACTATTCAAATCAATATTTTAAATTCGTTTTGAAGCTGATTTCCTTTACTTCAGCATAAAATTGGAATAAGTTTCAAATGGTGTCATAACTGATACAAATACATTCATTCATTCATTTCTTTATTAACGCACACAATGGTACATGCCGGGTTCCGCAGTGAGCACTACCCGGTGATAACAAATTACAATAATAAAGATACAGATAGATATAGGTGTTACAAAATACATAATTAATTATAATATAAAGGTAAAATACACAGGTGTAATAGGTACACAATACAATAACACAATACAATACAATACAGAAAACACTGACGATCGAGCGGTGTCTCGAAGATTGTGCTTGGTGCGATTTCAGCTAAAATCCAGTCACATTCGACACCAATACACAAAGTCCATCCTTAAAAAGAGACAGCCATAAGCAAAATAGGATGAAGAAAAATGTTCTTCAGCACTAATGTATATATTGTGTACTGTAAACTTAGTGCTGCAGTCTTGATCATCTGTCCGCACGTAAACAGTACACTTTGGTAGAGAATAACTACTGAATAATCAGGATAAATTAGACTTATGCCAGACATCCTGAGGCTTATGATGTGTAACATGATGGCTGCTGAAATTAGAATTATTTGATGAATCGGAATAAGATGGTATCGTATCATACTCAAGAGAGTGATTGAGTACAAAGCTGACTAAAAGCCACTGACTGTTGTACGTGCAAAGTATTTGGTGATTAAGTCGAAAAAGGCCTCATATGAGTCTTTTTCACGAAGGATTGTGTTATAGTCAGACCAGTTATGGCCATGTGAATTAATAGTGGTAATCAGTATATGTCGCTCCAAATTAAGCATGGGGCACTCATAAATGTAGTGCACATTACTATCTGTAACACCACACAGGGAGCACATTGAACTGGTTGCGTTAACGAATCTCGCTAGATAAGATTGAAAGCGACCATGGCCGGTAAGAAATTGCGTAACAAAACTATTAGGTCTGTACCATTTGTATGTAAAAAAGGTCTTGATACAAGGTATAAATCTATGAGTAATAGGGTGGTTATGTTGGTCCCAGGTGTTTTGCCAAGTTAATAGGAGATCCTGCCAGAGAATTCTTTTGAGAGTACTGGTGCTGATTTTATCATAAGAGATATTAAGACTATTATCGTTGGAAGCTGCCTTAGCTAAGGCATCAGCTCTTTCGTTACCATGGGTACCTATATGTGCACGAGTCCAGTAAATATAATATCGATTGGAAGACTTGGAAATGAGAGTGTTAATGTCATAAACGATTGGGTGAAAGGATCTTTTACGAAGGATTGCAATAGAGGAAGAGCTATCAGTAATGATAGCTATTTGTTTATGCTGGACATTGTTAGCCCAAGTAATGGCCATTTTCAAGGCATAGAGTTCTGCTTGAAAAATAGTGCATTGTTCACCCAATCTGAACTGGCCCAGAGCAATCTCCTGCCCGTTCTGGTAAACAACATAACTACAACCAACCTTTATATCTGTTTTCGAACCATCCGTAAAGATTTCGTAATCATTGTAAGAGGGTTGCTCGAAGACGATTGACGGTGTGGACGAAAGGGCCAAAGATTGTGAATAAATGACAAAAGAAATTTCTTGTTCCAAGTCGGTGTGACTTATTTGTTGGTTGCTAGTATAAATATCAAGGCCATGCTTTATTTGCCATTGTTTAAAATAGGAGGTGATGATAAGATCAATAGGGGCTTTCTTAGCCAGAACTTGAATAGAGATATTGGGCGTGGTATTGTAGGCCTTGGTGATCTGAATAAGAGCTCTACGTTGTGACGAAATAAGTTTACGCTTTATATGAGTCTTATAAACATCACCTCCCCAAATTCCACAAGCATAAGTAATGATTGGAATATAAATCTGATTATAAATTGCATCCATCGCCTCAGTGGCAAGTCCCCAACGACCTCTCGCAATACTTGCAAAAGCGTTAAAGATTTTCCCTGTACGTTGAGTTATGTATTCAATATGTGAATTCCACAAGAGGCGGTGGTCCAAGATCACGCCCAAATATTTAATAGTTTTATCTACTTTTATGGTATGACCACCCATTTTAATGCAAGGAGTACGGAGGTAAAGGTTTTGATGGCCAGGTTTATTGAATACTATACACTTAGTCTTGTTAGGATTAAAATCCAGTTTATGTTGATTTCCCCAGGTTAGAATGTTATTAAGAATAGTATTACCGTGCTGCTCAAGTGCTGAACGAGATTGACCACCAAAAAGTACCAAAACATCGTCAGCGTAAGCTATCATATTATGTTGTCCGAAGTCTTGAGTAAGAAAGAGATTAAATAGAACGTTCCATAGAATGGGACCACATACCGAGCCCTGCGGACAACCGCGGACAACTTTGCGAGAAACTGTGTGCCCCCCACATTGAAGTGTAGCGGTGCGGTCATTTAGGAAATCCTTAATAATATAGAATATATTGGCAGGGCAGTTCAACTTTTGGAGGTTATTCAATATTAGATGCCACCAGGCAGAATCGAATGCCTTGGCGATATCGAGACTGATAGCCAAGACGTATTTATTGCTTTCTAATAGATGATTAATGCTAGCAACGGCAAAGTATAAGGCATCAGCAGATGATTTTTGAGGCCTGAAGCCAAATTGATTATCATGGATAAGATGGTTGGCCTCTAGATACGTGAGGAGCCTGTTGTTAATAAGTCTCTCAAGGACTTTGCCTAAAACAGGTAACAAAGAGATTGGCCTGCTTTCTTTAGTATTTCCTGGTTTTGGTACCGGAACAATTTTGGCAGACTTCCATGATTGCGGAAAAACACCGTAAATAAGGCAGGTATTATACAATTGTGTAAGATTATAAGGAATAAGTTGCCAAAGGTGTTTGGCCAGTTCCGGAGTTATATTATCATGACCAGGAGATTTTTTGTTATTAAGATTTGTGAAGATTTTGTCAATTTCTTGCATGCGGAAAGATGGCACATTTGTTGTATTTATATTGTTCTGTATTTCAAAATGAGATTCCAAGAGTGTTTCGGAGTCATGATCCATCTGGTCAGTCAGACAAAATCTGTCCATTTTCTTTGCGGCAGCAGAAAAGAAATCTTCCCCTTCGTTTGTGGAATATAAGATTTGTTTCTTTTTAAGTTTATTTGTACACAATTTTGTAATAAATCCCCATGGCTTATCCGCAGCAGCTGCACAAAAATCTTTCCAGGATTGTTTCTTAGCTAGTTTTATTTTGCTTTTATAAAATTTGAGGTGGTTGATGTATTGTATCTTGTGGTTTGTGCGCTCAGGTTCTGTATGGCAATTTTGAAATCTTTTTCTAAGTTGAATATTCCCCTTTCTGAGATTGGTAAGTTCGGCTGTCCACCAAGGGACAGATTTGCGGGTTTTTGTGAATTGAGGAATAAAACTTTTACATGCATTATTGATGATCTCAATATTATAATCTATGCGATTA